TAAATATATTACTAAACAATTAATTATATCAAGTAATAATTTTATCTCAAACATGGTTGAGTTTTTAATATTTTTAGAAAATCGTAATTAATCACAGCTGATTTATTTAGAATTTTTTTAGTATATAATTTATGGATGTTTAAATTAAAGTCCAGTTTATGAATCAATTAATCTCTCGGTGATTTTTTTTTTAAAAAGAAATTTTATATACTCTTAAAGAAATTGATTCAAAAAAATTAAATAATATATGAAATGAATTAATACTGAAAAAAAAACAACAATCTCTATCAGATATATTAGATTAATTCATATCTCATTAATTTATATGTAATTATGGGATATAATGATAGATAACAATTTAAACTGATATATTCATAAATATGAATTAATTGTTATTATAATTTATAGTTTTTGAGCTTTTGAAATATAAATTAAATAAAAATAAATAGCTTAAAATAAAACTGAAAATTATTAAGTCAATTAAATTAGCTAATCATATTAAATCTCATCGATATTAGTTATTCTAATGACACTCCTTTAAAGGAATGTAACATAATTTATTAATTACTTCTTAAAATTTATAACATCCATCTCCTTTTACTAAGCATCTATACTAACTTAAACTATTATTTTTTTTTATAATGGTTCTTCGATATTATACAAATTTATTTTATCAGTTTAGTTCTTCAAATCATTTATGTGGTTTAAAATATAACTATTAGTATTTTATAAAATTTATTATAACTGAAACATTTATTTGTAGGTAAAATGATTTTTGAAATAAATGGTAGGTATTTCAATAATCAAGAAAGAAGATCTAAAAGAAATGAATTAGATAAATAATTGATACATACTTTAAAAACTCAATCAAAAATTGTAATGACAATGAATAATAATTTAGCTTTGATTCTCAATAAAAACTGGAGATATATTAGTTAATTTTCTGAGAATTATAAATAACCCAAACTAAATAGAAATATTAATATATATAAAATGAAAAGAATAAATTATTAATAATTATAGTTTTTTAGCATTATAGTGATTTTTTCTATATTCTTAAAGAATAAACCTATAAATAGACTTATTTGATTTCCTACTCTCCAATTTTTTACCAAATACAATTGACTCCAAATTTGAAAAAATTCCGTCCTCATCTTTAAGATACTTTTTTTGATTTGTAGTGGAAAAATGAAAAGAAAGTTAAAGAAAATCAATTAAACAAAAAGTATATGAATTGCACCCACCATAATAAATTTCGAATAATTTCCATCTGTATTGCCCCTCACTAATGAAAATGCTAAAGGAAGCTTTGCATTGATTGCCAATAATGAACACGGAGTTGATATCAAATATACAATTCCGACTCATAGATTTCAAGATATGGTTATAAAGTAAATAAAAGAATCTTAGATTGATCAACCTTCTGAATTCAAAGAATAAAGAAAGAATTCTTTAATATATGTCAAACTAAGATCATGCTGAAGTATACTTGGCAACAGTTATAGGAATCAATCCAAAAAATATATTATACAATTGAGATTCAGGATAAATCATGTTTCAAAATGATAAACAACAATTTCAATCCTATAGATTTATCAAATACGGACTTAGAAACATTAGTATAAATTGTATAAGGAAAAACAGAAAATGAATGGAAAGCTTATAGAGATTCTTATTTTTAGAAGTTACAAAAGGTAAAAGATTGGTGGGGGAAAGAAATTAAGGCTTATAATGAAAAGTTGAAAAAAGAAATGAAAGACAATTTGCCATTAGAAATTAAAGGAAAATAAAAACAAAATGAAATAAAATTACCTTTTTAATTCAATCTTAAACCATTTAATTATTAGATAATTTAAGCTAATTCTATAAAATAATAAGAATCTTGTGTTGCAGTTGCTATCAATTAAGATTGTTCAATTGTAGCGGCTGGTTGTAATACATTAATTAAAATATATGAATTCAAATAAGGTATGTTGAAATTAAATCAAGTTTTAAATTAACATTAAAATGAAGTCAATGTACAAAAAACATTCACAATCAAATTTTGTTAGATAAATATAATTATTAATCTTTCAAAATAGTGCTTGAGGCTACTCCTCCACTTTGTTTCAGTCAAAATAATCTTGATTAATAGGGAAGAACAATGATACCAATTAAAAGTTTGATTTATAAGTTTATATGCTTTTTATTAATCCAAATCCCCTTCGAACTTTTTTGTTCACTAGAAAAACCATCAAAAATTTGATATAATTTTGATTGATAAATTTATAAAAAGACTCAAGAAAAACAAATAAAAAAACCAATAGAAAATAAAAAAATTTACAAGAATTCAATAAAAACCTTACAAAAATCCCACTATTTGTTGAGTCAAAGATATTTGCAATTAACATTTAAGAAAAACGAATTTGTATTATAAATTAAATACTCACAGTTTAAAAAAAATAGAAATTGTTTATTTCTTCTGCTATAATTGATGATTTTGATTATCCATGATTAGAATTTGATGTTGATTATTTATTGTAATTTGGTGATGATATTGATTATTCTTTATTAGAATTTGATGATAATGTTGATTATTTATTATTTTAATTTGATTATTTTTCTGTTTCTTATCCACAGTTATTATTTGATGATGATGACTATTATTGATTATTTTAATTTGATGATTATTTCGATTATTTGTCAGTATTATTGGATGATGATTATCTATTTTATAACTTTTTAAAATTATTTGTTCATTCATTTTATTTCATCTCCTATCCACCGACACACATTTTTTCTTTATCATTTTACCTTTTTTTCATTGTTTTTACTTTATGATAGTTTCTATGTTTATTCTTAATTTAATTAAACTGCTTTATTTTATTTTATTTTATTTTCTAGATGCTATTGCTTTTAATTTTGGTTCGACTCTTTTTTATTATCTTTTGATTCGTTAATTTAAACTTTATATTCATTATTATAATCTTATTAATCCTTTTTGTTATTTTCTTGTTTTATTTTTTTCACGTTTTTTCTTCTCCTTCTCTTTTTATTGTCACAATAATCTACTTTTTCTTAAATTTTATTTAGTTCATCAGAAATGTTATCATCAAAACTACTTTTAAGCAAATCCTAAAGTTGTGTTTAGATATTAAATATCGATTATTTCATATAATAATCGTCTGACTTTATTGTGACTCCTAAATACCATTTTACTCCAACGCATTCTAAACCCCATTTTACTACAAATAGTATTTTTAATATCGAATATACTATACCTTTTGACAAATTCATTATACTTAGAATTGCTTACCAATTCCAATTAATTTTAAGGTATCTATGTTCCTTTTAGTTGCTATAAAATTTAAAGAAAAAATTAAATTAAATTAAAAGTCTAATGTATAATATTTAACAAAAAATCTGTTTCCAAACTTCCTTTAATTTTATATCAAAAAAGTAATTTATGATATATTCAAAAGAATATTCTACAAAATTTAAATTAAAACTTACAGGAAAACCTTACCCTAATTTCTTTTTTGACTCTAATTTATATTTAAATTCAAATTTTTCAATATGGAAATCTGCATCACAATCAAAGTCCCTTATAATACATCAATTTTGTAAGTTAAATTGATTTCTGTTAAAAAATACATAAAGTTTTTATTTTTAACTAACCCTTTTCCAATATATGTATTTCAATTATAGAATAATAGAGAAGTATTTGAAGCAAACTTTTTATCTTCTTCTTCTTCTTCTTTTATCATTATGAAAACAGGACTATAACTTTTCCAAGATTAGGTGTTATTTTTAGATCTTTAAATTGAATTTTAAATCTTGAAAAATTCAATGAATCAAATTTTTCAAAAATTGTTGTAAATTTAGTATCTGATAATTTCTACATTAATTTTTGAGGAAGTTAAGATCAATATCTGTTTGCTGAATGATAAACAATATTCTTTGTGTTTTTTCAAATATTTCTACAAAATTTTTTGGAAAAATTTTTTTAATAACAAATTTTGATAATGACTTGTAAAAGTTTTATTATCATAATTAAAAAGAATGACATTGACATCATTTTCATATATTTTTCCTGTTAAATTTCCAACAGATTAAATTATCTATTATTTTTTCACTTTTAATTAAAATAATCTTTTCAATTCTATCCCATTTATTGCAAAAGGCTTTTTATAACAAAGATGTAATCAACCTTCTTATGAATCATTATCAACTTTCATCTGAATTTTATACATTAGGCTTCCAAAATCTTGGTAAAATTATTTCATCTCTAATTGAATATAAAAATTATTGTTATTTTATAACTTAATATTAAATTGACAATTAAAATTANATTATCCATGATTAGAATTTGATGTTGATTATTTATTGTAATTTGGTGATGATATTGATTATTCTTTATTAGAATTTGATGATAATGTTGATTATTTATTATTTTAATTTGATTATTTTTCTGTTTCTTATCCACAGTTATTATTTGATGATGATGACTATTATTGATTATTTTAATTTGATGATTATTTCGATTATTTGTCAGTATTATTGGATGATGATTATCTATTTTATAACTTTTTAAAATTATTTGTTCATTCATTTTATTTCATCTCCTATCCACCGACACACATTTTTTCTTTATCATTTTACCTTTTTTTCATTGTTTTTACTTTATGATAGTTTCTATGTTTATTCTTAATTTAATTAAACTGCTTTATTTTATTTTATTTTATTTTCTAATTTATTTTGATCATCTTTTTGGGCTAGATGCTATTGCTTTTAATTTTGGTTCGACTCTTTTTTATTATCTTTTGATTCGTTAATTTAAACTTTATATTCATTATTATAATCTTATTAATCCTTTTTGTTATTTTCTTGTTTTATTTTTTTCACGTTTTTTCTTCTCCTTCTCTTTTTATTGTCACAATAATCTACTTTTTCTTAAATTTTATTTAGTTCATCAGAAATGTTATCATCAAAACTACTTTTAAGCAAATCCTAAAGTTGTGTTTAGATATTAAATATCGATTATTTCATATAATAATCGTCTGACTTTATTGTGACTCCTAAATACCATTTTACTCCAACGCATTCTAAACCCCATTTTACTACAAATAGTATTTTTAATATCGAATATACTATACCTTTTGACAAATTCATTATACTTAGAATTGCTTACCAATTCCAATTAATTTTAAGGTATCTATGTTCCTTTTAGTTGCTATAAAATTTAAAGAAAAAATTAAATTAAATTAAAAGTCTAATGTATAATATTTAACAAAAAATCTGTTTCCAAACTTCCTTTAATTTTATATCAAAAAAGTAATTTATGATATATTCAAAAGAATATTCTACAAAATTTAAATTAAAACTTACAGGAAAACCTTACCCTAATTTCTTTTTTGACTCTAATTTATATTTAAATTCAAATTTTTCAATATGGAAATCTGCATCACAATCAAAGTCCCTTATAATACATCAATTTTGTAAGTTAAATTGATTTCTGTTAAAAAATACATAAAGTTTTTATTTTTAACTAACCCTTTTCCAATATATGTATTTCAATTATAGAATAATAGAGAAGTATTTGAAGCAAACTTTTTATCTTCTTCTTCTTCTTCTTTTATCATTATGAAAACAGGACTATAACTTTTCCAAGATTAGGTGTTATTTTTAGATCTTTAAATTGAATTTTAAATCTTGAAAAATTCAATGAATCAAATTTTTCAAAAATTGTTGTAAATTTAGTATCTGATAATTTCTACATTAATTTTTGAGGAAGTTAAGATCAATATCTGTTTGCTGAATGATAAACAATATTCTTTGTGTTTTTTCAAATATTTCTACAAAATTTTTTGGAAAAATTTTTTTAATAACAAATTTTGATAATGACTTGTAAAAGTTTTATTATCATAATTAAAAAGAATGACATTGACATCATTTTCATATATTTTTCCTGTTAAATTTCCAACAGATTAAATTATCTATTATTTTTTCACTTTTAATTAAAATAATCTTTTCAATTCTATCCCATTTATTGCAAAAGGCTTTTTATAACAAAGATGTAATCAACCTTCTTATGAATCATTATCAACTTTCATCTGAATTTTATACATTAGGCTTCCAAAATCTTGGTAAAATTATTTCATCTCTAATTGAATATAAAAATTATTGTTATTTTATAACTTAATATTAAATTGACAATTAAAATTTAAATTATTATAGTATAATTCTTGACTTTCTGCAAGAAGTTACTTACTTTCTTCGTTAGAGATTTAGAAATCAAACTTTTTTTGTATTAGTATTAGTATTATTCTTATTATAATTATTTAACCGTTTCAGGGTTTGGGTTTGGGTTTGGGTTTGGGTTTGGGGTTGGGTTTGGGTTTGGGTTTGGGTTTGGGTTTGGGTTTGGG